TAAATAGATGTGATTCAACCGAGAATGTTTCGTACATTCAATACTGTATATAAAACATTTTTATTGAAAATCAAAATATCCTAAATCGCTCCAACGTATTTGATTGACCGAAAAGTCACGAATCGTTCGTGTTTATCCGACTTCACCGATTCGTAACGGCTTTTTAACAATTATAAATTATAGCCATTACATCTGACGTCTTTGCAAGACGCGCCACTACCACATTTTTTGAATGTTGGAAAATGGACGTTAAAATTGGAATTCTCTATGAGGCTTTGTGTATTTTATTTAATATAAGTTTTTGTGTAATTTTCAGTTTTTATAAAAATATATATATATTTTTTTTTCTGTATTTTTAACTGATTTTTTCAAAGAATTTACATTGGGCTTTGCACGGACATCATTTAGCAATTTTCAATGTGTACCGAAAACATACACAACCCAGATGTACCATTCTTCCCCGAAACCAAAGACATTATAGTAATTCTATACGATACTAGTAATAATTATTATTATTTCAACCGAGTTCTTATTGGAATTGTTACCGAGATGAGACACGCGTTTATATGGGATCCGTTGATGGTTTATTTTTGAAAAAAAAAAAAATACTTAATTAAATATTGCAACCGGAAACGGTACACGCGCGTATAGTGTAATCATTCGAATTAAGCTCGCGTAAGAAAATAATTACTTCCCGTACAATGGGCGGCGGCGTACAAAAAAGTAATTTAATTTTTCCCGCCGTCTCATTAAATGTATTGCGTTTCCGAACGTTTTAATAACCACGTTATATTATATACGAAATTCCCTCGCCGTTTTGTTTATCAACGGAATAATGTCCCCGGCCGACGCGATATTATAATATTACGGGTCTCGCGGTTCTGTTGCGCGGTTGATTAACGGTATAAAACTTTCATAATAATTAATAATAATAATATCATTATAATCGTTATTGTGATTGGTCCCGGTCGGTGTTGTTGGTCTTGTGTTCGCATCGTTTTTATTATTATACCATAGGACAACGATAATAAATTAAGGATTACGATTTCACGGCGTAATTTGTTTTTCGTATTGTTTTTTTTTTTTTTTGTGAATCACTGTCGGAAATCTGAAAAATATTTCCATATGTATCTAATGTACTCTGGGTGACGGCCCAGACTGCGCGGATATTTTTTTTATTCGCGTTACGGTGCGAATAAAAAAGTGTTTTTGCGGTTTTTTTACCGTAGATAAAACCGAAGCTATTATATTACTAAAAAAAAATTTCGGTTAATTCTGGACCTCCGAGACCTCCGGTTAACCTCTGTCCAACAAACAAATCTTTACATTCCGTTTATCTCCTAAAACGATGGCGTATTATTTTTATTTATTTAAAACGATGGCGTTTTTACTTTTATTTATTTATACACGTCGTGTTCAAGCCTCGTCGACTGCCTCCCGAACCGTCTTTTCCTTGTGCAATTATGTTCCGATACTGCTCGTACAGTAGTGGGTTTTTTTTTTTTTTTTTATTGTAGGTACATTTCCAAGCAATATTAATTTTTTTCATGATCTTTAAAATATGTTATTTTCTCATACACTCCGGTTTAACTCGTTGTCATATTATATTGAACCATCTTGTTCTTCCGCGGAACGTTTTTATTTATTAAAACCAACCAATTTAATTATTTTAAAAAAAAGACAGATAATATTCAAACTATAGGTGACTAACGAATAACGATTTTGAGTGGAGTTTCGATTTACGTACTCGTACATTTTAAGGTCGGAATATTTATGATTTTCGTTAAAATTTGATATTAAAATTCGTAAAAAAAAAATTCTACGTTAAAATCAATTTGTTGTTTTTTTTTTTTTTTTTTTTTTTTTATCACAAAGTACGACTTATAATGAATCTCCTATTAAATTTCCAAGCATTCTATTTGATCTAATAATTATATCCACGCAATGTACCTACCGAATAAGAATTACGTAAAATACTTGTACAATTTAAATGTTTATAAATGACAATTCAATGAAAATTTACCACGTCTATACAAAGCCAATGTAATTATTATCTAAACACATATTGTGTACAAATTTAAATTCAAAACAATTGTATTATTGATTGAAAAAGAACGTAGAAAGAAATAATTATTTTAAATTTAGTTTTTTTTTTTTGGTTTTATTTAAAATCGTTTGGCCGAACCGAAAAACTTGAAAAATTTAATTCGAAGTTCGTTATTAGTTCAACTTAGTGGGTAACAAAAATAAATAAATAAATAGTTATGCGTACTTTAATAGTTTTTTTTTTTTTTTTTTTTACAAGCATATAAAAACAAAAAAGTTTACGATCATCGTAAAAATGACGACATTTGAAAATTTGCACTCCCGAACTTTGCGCGGAATCGTTTTTCGCTAACGACCGTTTATCGTTGCGTACACAGTTTCAAATCAAACGACTTTACGTATCCTATTTTCCAGTTTTCCTATTGACGACAGTCTCCAATATCGGCCTTTTATCTTCTTTTTTAATAAGTTTATGCCGACAAGGATACCGTATTATTGCAAACATCGCAAACGCAAATTCGCCTTCCCGGAGTTTAAGAATCGGGCCGTATTATTTAATACATATATATATATATATATATATTAAAAAATACAATTATCCTTAAATCGCCGCCGCGGGGTAAATAATATCAGATGCTATTTTAGTACGTAAATTTCATCGAGGTTATCATCACTTGTACGTTATCGACGTTCACAACAGCCTCTTAAAATATTATAACATAAATGTGTAGATTATCATTACAACGACGATAATTTTATTTAGAATATCGCGCGGTGCGAGTACCGACCGTTTAAACTCGTAATTATACATATATATATATTGTACGCGTGTCTTATTCGTAAACCATGATCATTAACCCGACGAGAAAACGACGAATGTCTGTGCCGACTGCCGCGTGTAAAACCGTTTCGTGGGGACCGTCTGATTTAAACTCGTTCGGAACGTTTACGCCGTAATGATTTTACAAAGTAAAACGTTTAAAGAAAACGCGAGAAACGAAACGATATTTAAACGTTTGCGCACGATTCCGGCGGCTTTAAGTCGGATTAAAAATTTCAAAATAGACGGTTTTACCGTTACAACATAGCGACACCGATGGCAATATAGCGGGACGCGGCAATAACATTACCGAATTATCATGCCGTTATTGTATTTTATACTTGCGCCGAAATTATTATTCTGCGCGCGCCGTACATACACGGTGTACGGGCGGCGGGTGAACGTTTTAAACTCGAATGCCGTCGAAGTCGCATGGTACGCAAACACGGATATTGTTATAACGTTTCCGCGCGTAAATAATAATAATTATAAGTTTTCGTATAACACACGCATTTATACGGGGGCGTAATACAATATATTGATGTTTTAAGTGTGTTCAGCAGCTTTCTATAAGTACGCGCTGTGCGTATAAATAATAATAATAATAATATCCGGATTAGCGTGTTTATTACGATTAAACCGACTACCGTTCGAAGATTATAATAACAACAACAACAACAACGATAAGCGCGATAAAACTTTTAAATATTTACGTTCCGTCTCGGTTTTGATTTTATCCCGTCCACCTGTCGTATACGCTGCGATATCGTCACGGCGATGAGGGTTAGGCGATTACGACGATTGTGACCATAACGGCGGGGACACCGCACGGATGATTATTCAAAAAATCCGATAATATTGTAGACCGTCAGACGCGATTTCGCTCACAGTGATGTTCGCTAGGCGAGCATTAAATGCAATACGATTGAGTGCCTGTGTACAGTAATATTATCATGTAATACAAGGCCCGCAGAGAGTTTAACCGAATTAAAATTTAAAAGAAAATAAAAATGAAAAACGCTACCGAACCGACGCACGGTTAACTATAACGAACAAATTTACGTTCAAATCCGTTTCTAAAGCGCGCTTTACAAAGTTCGTTCCGAAAACGTTCGGGATTTCTAACAACAATAATAACAATGATATACCCACCGAATGTGGATTTCGAAATACATTCCGAGATAGATCCTCGGATACGCGAAATACGTTTAAACACCTAGAACGTGCGGGCGATATTGATTCGGGCCGTGCGTTCGAAGAAGAAAAATATTAATTTTACCGTATTTCGATTAAAAACGTTGTGCGATTTTCCAGTCAATATATTGTACAAAATTCAATTTAAACTCTCAATTTGTGTCGTCTAACTCATTTTAACGTGGATATTTTTTTTATTTTCGTGAGCTAATAGCTAGTGATGGGGATGTGTAATGTCTTATATATTCCTAAAAAATGGCATTAAAAGAACGCGATTGAAAATGTGATTATTTTTAATAATTCCGATATAAGTATAATATGATAAATTCGCTTTCAACACAAAACTCGTACTGACCGAAGCATTTGATTTTATCGCTCTTACACAATATTTGTATCAAACAGAACATCTATCGACTCTAAAAATACCACGTTGATTTCGCCTTATAATTTATCTGTTTCATTTAAATTTAGGTATTGGCGTTATATACATTGTTCGTGTTATAAAATGCGAGTATCTACTTAATAATTTGTTATGTTTTTTTTATAAAAATCATGTTATAGCGTGTAAAAATCTTAAAAGACAATTTCAAATTGAAATGTTAGATCTAAAAACTCCGAAAATTCTCTAAAATATTTTTATTTTTCGACAAGTATAACGTTTTATAAACTTTTTCAAGCCCTGGGGCTTATAACATCAGTTTTCAATATCAGTATATTAGTGTAGTGTTATTATAAATATGCAAATTATTGTAAACATATCAACATGGCATACACAACAAAAACCTCCTCAGGCGGGACCTAATAATGCAGTGATTAATTATAAAGTTGTGGTTTCACCGTTTACTTTAAAAAGCCAGAAAATAGAAAAAACAAAAATAACATTCTAAATGTCTAAAATTTAAGCCGTGTCGGCAGCGTGAAATTTTCGAAGGATTTTTCACCAACCAGAAAATTAGTCACTGCGATACAACAGACAACCAACACACGAATATCTCATTTTTTGATGCTGCGCTCGGAATTCGCATGAATTCAATAAAGTGCACGCAGTTAGAAAACATAAATATCGCGCAGTGCAATCGCAGTTTATCGGAGGTTTCGGATATTAATGATAAATGATACCATTATAATTATTATGATAACTGATAACGATATTTAAATCATATACAATGATAGAATTATTCGTAAAATTTGTGAAAGTGACAAAACTATAGGACCATAGTGATGCACGCGGTCATTTTTTTCATTTATACACAGATTTTAATTTTACCGTAGATAAAAACATTATCAGTTCGTAAAATATTTATAAATATCAAATGATCAAAGGGAAAAACGGATTGATAAACTGCAGTCTTGCACATGTCACGGGCCCTATAGTTATACTCATCGACCTCATAATAATAAATGATCCATGCACATTTTTTTCCACGGCTACAGAGGGCGTTTTTTAGTGACTGGACAGTGATTGATGCACGATAATACAATTACTGTTATTTTGTCTAATGTGTAATAAATTATCATACACCCTGAGGGTTATAAGTTTATGTCGTTTTTAGTAATTATTTTTAACAATTAAAATTTGCGTGTTTTGGACATTGGAACTCAATCAACGCGTTGTAGGTTACATACAAGTATGTTAGACAATATCAAAAATGCAGATTCATTAGAAAAATATATATATATAAAAAAAAAATCGTAACAAGTTTGAAAACATAAAAACTGCATTGCAGACGTCGAGGCGAATTCTCGATAAGACGCTACGCGATTATTTTCTGATTCCGACGCGATAATATTTTGTAAACCCTAACGTCAAGTTTCGCTGCGTAGCCGGTTTGATGTTCGAGGCTACCGTCTAACAGTGCAAGGTCTAATATATCCGCTTGGACTCGTTTCATTGGCGTGTGCTGCGAGTCAAATATCCGTTGTATACGATTCTTTTGCCGCGGATTACTTCACTACCGCGGCCCGAACTAGCAGACCATACTGTCATCGATATCATGTCCGTTCGTCTCGTAATATTATATTGCCGCTCCGCGACTACGATGCCAACAGAATGGATATGGTTTTTTTTTTTTTACGACCGGCGGCGGTATATTATGTATTAATATGTCGTCATAATTATCGTATGTTATTATGTTTTAAAAACGTGCCAACGACGGATTTGAATTCGAATAAAAAAAAAAAAAAAAATAAATATTTTATGCGCAATATACGAGCCAGTAATACTAACCGATATTTAGCATAAATTATACGCGTTTATAATGTTTTCGGTTTGTGTATATGTTATTATAATGGGGACATAGCCATGGATTTGGCCTCATCGTTACATATTACGCGTGCGTGATATGCGTGTGTGTGCGTATGTACGCGCGTGTGTGTGTGTGTGTGTGTGTGTGTGTGTGTGTGTACTCGCATTATAATAATATAATATATTATCTTAACGGGGCTGACACATAAACCATTTAAAATACGAATTTACGATTGTTGCGCGGCACGGCCCGGGTCACAATAACAATATTATACGATATCTTCTATATATATATATATTATTATTATTATTATTATTATAATATCATGTACGGACCATATTATTCTAATACGCGCTATGAATCACATGACGTGCCGCAAATCGGTTTCTGAACTAACGTATAATAGTATTCGCCGGATCGTGTATAATATTATATAAATATTGCGATTCGCACGAATAAAAAACACGCCCGTATAAAATTAAATCGTTTTCGAATAGAGAAAACGTCGCGCCCGTAGCTCCCGTGACTGTTGCACCGCGTTCGATTAGTATCACAGCGATCGTTGTGTTTTCGGCGTTATCCGACGTGTACCGCAGAGTTTACGGCATGGCCGAAAAATATCCAAAGGGTTCCGATCGCTGATCAAAAGACTTATAAAAAAAAAAAAAAAAAAAATCGATTATATAATATGATGACGTCGTCGTTGTATATCGTTTTTTTTTTTACAATCGCAACGATTCGTCCGACGATCCTGTATATTAAATGTCGAACTGTCGAAAATTGCACGAGAAACCGTTCATAACGCGAATTTCGGGACTGCAAACGGTAGACGTCGATTATTATAGCGTTTCCAAGTACAAGACGTATAGCAAGTAGTCAGACTGAGTTAAAAAAAAAAGCAGCCGACGATGGCGAGGAATATCAATGGTAAAAGACCCTGCGAAGGATCAGGACGAGTCGGGAAGATGCAATACAACCAAAATGCATAAATAGAAAAAGGCGGAGGATCGGGTGTTTGAAGAAATGGTCCTTAGAGACCTAAAAATCCCCGAGAAGAAAAACAAGACGACTTCTTCTCAACTATAAACATTTTGAAAATCTACTAAAATATTTTTTTCTTACTATTGGCAGTTAAGAGCGAAATACACATTAATTTTAAATTCACAAAAACTATTAACAGAAGGATCGATTTTGTACCAATTAGATATATTCATTAAACTATGAATTGATTATTATTATTCTAATTGATTATTTGTTAAAGACAAATAAAACAAACTGATATTTCTTAAATTCATTTTAGTAATCTTAAAACTAATCAGGTCATTCAATTAAATTATTAAGTAATTTATATAAGAAAACTAAATCTAATTTATATTGATATTGTCGAAAAAGTATCACTATCAACTGAATTTAGCTCAGAATCGTTTTTTCGTTAAGAAAGGTTTACCGTTACTCACAGATATACATTAAATTCCCGTCTGTACCCTACCATCTCAACTACAATAGAGGCTGCAACCACGTGTGTAAAGTATGTCTGTCTTTATTTTGTTTTAATTTTTCAATAGTTTTCAGAGGGGCATTTAATAAATTCGGAGTTATTAGCCACGTGGAATTCACGCGTGGAACTATATCGTACACCCGTAATGTTTTAATACTCCGTGTACGTCATCATCGCAGTCGGTAGGTATTTGTGTAGGTATATTATAGTATTAGGTATACAATAATTGTTTTGCGAAAAAAAAAAAAAATAAAAAAAAATAAAAAACAATTCTCTTTCGCCTATAATATTTTACAGTCCGACGTCGGCCATTCGTTACAACAACAATAATAATAATAATAATAATAATACGGTTTTCCGGGCTGAAACTGCGATTTATGAAACGACCGTTTTTTTTTTTTTTTTTTATAATATATTACGTAGTCGCTATGCGCGTATAATACGTACTACTATACAGCCGATATCGGCTTATAGCGCGTTATCGGCGAGACCGTAATGTATATGTGTGTGTGTGTGTGTGTGTATAGAATACTAGTTTTTTTTTTTTTTTATCAAGAGTAAAAATAACGTTTCGAATCATTATTGCGCTCGGCCGCGGCGTATAATATTATAATATAGTCGTTAAACGGTTTTATGGTTTTATGATAATAATAATGATAATAGTTTTTATTGTAATGGCGCGTCGTAAGTCGAAACGTTTCTCGCGATAATAATGGCGTATACATATTATGTTATATACGTACAATGACGAGCGAGTTGATTTACCGACGACGACGACGTATATAGTATTCATTACTATAGTATTTTTATTTTTTTCGTTTTTTTTTTTTTTATTTATTTTGTTCGGGTTTTTTTTTATTTTACCCGTTATTTTCGCGTTATAATACAAACGCGCGGGCGAGCGCCGCCCACTTACGGGATATATTCACGTACCGCGACGACGACGACGCAGCAAAGGCCGTTGTTATTTTAAGTATTTTTTTTTTTTTTCATAAATAACGCGAAGCGTATTATAATACCGTGTATAATAATACGTATTATTGTTATTATTATATAATACGTACCGCGTGTAACTCTCGACGGGCGGGGGGGGCAGGGAAGAGCAGGGATAGGGGTCCGGAGGAGAGGACGAATCGATAGCTCGTACGTCGTAAGCTCGGCTATAATAATAATAATATTATTATTATTATATAACACCACTCTGCGTACAATACGGGCGGGGGGGGGATTTTTTTTTTTTCCTTTTATTTACAATTTCTTTTCATTATTTTTTTTCGTTTTTTCGTTATTGAATCCGTCGACGGGAACCCGCACTACAGGCCGCGGCTCAGCGTAGTCTCGACACATCGACGGCTATCCGTATGCACGCAAATAATGTATAATCGCAATCGTTCGTTGTAATCGCAATGCCTACACGCGACTGGTGCGGCGCTATTGTGGTGATTTATCACGACGACAACGGCGCCGATTTCGATAACGTGTGTCGCGCGCCGCGATCGGCCGAATATTGGACGGCTTCCCGCCGCGACAAACGTCCAGAATTGGACGACTTCCCGCGACAAAATGCCGATAACATTATGACGGCGTTCGACAACCCCGTGTGAAATATTATTATTTGTCGTTATTACGGCGACCGTCGGGCGTGATTTCGCCGAAATTCGGGCGGGATGGAGTGGGCGGGGGGCGGGCGGGGGTTACAGAGCTCTGGCGTTCGCGTACCCAAGTAAATAAAGCGTGAAAATCACCCTGTATATAAATATTGAAACTCCCATAATTTATATTGCATTAATTTATAAAGAAATATCACGGATAGCAAAAAAAAAAAATTAAAAAAACAAATTCGTTAATTACGCGTATTTTTTCTTACCTAAATTGTATAGATACATATCATACCCATATGGTGCATTTTATCAAAACTTTAATTGTTATTTATTTATTTTTTTTTATTTATCGAAAACTTAATTTTCAAAGTACTTGTTGGCTGATTATCATTTCATTCGAGAATACAATTTTTTTTTACACCTTTATCGAGTTCACTCTACAAAGGTTCAAATCCATCGTCGATCGATAATCGTTTATTTTTCGATACGTTTTTCGTATTAAAAAAAAAAAAAAAAAAAAAAAAAAAAAAATATGAAAACGAGTA